GAGAAAACAGAAAATGAGCTTCGAATCAGATATATCCAAGAAGCAGCTAGCCAACCAGATTTTGAGTACCCTCAAGTAAGTGACATGCTTTATATATCCCACATTTTTTCTTATAATAAACTCATGGTCTGTAATAATGCTTGTCAGGGCTGAGCAAATCCCACAGCCCAACGTATGGGACTAGTCATTTTTGAAGTTGGGCAAGTAAAATTTTCCAAGTCACTAGTTTGGGACAAGTGCTTTTTAAAAAAGTTCAGCTAGTCCTTATTTTCCTGTTTAGTCCCTATATCTACCTTTATTTCCCCAATCATGCCCTCTGGGCATACTGGTACTTGATTATAGCACCTATTTGTGTATACATTTACATCCCATTACCCCTGGATTGCATATTGGGCTAAGGGGCAAATCCAAACAGTCAAACTAAAGAATGCCACTATGATCAATTAGCAGTGTTGTAGGTGGTTTTGTTGCAATGAGGTTAATCTAGATCAGAAGGACCAACTCCCTATGATTTCAATCCAGGGAGTCAGTGTAATTAAATTAATGATATGTATTTTACCTACATCCATGTCAGTTTTCTTTATGGACTGATTCAATGACAGTAATGATTTTAAAATTTATAACTGTTTCATGTGCTATATTGTGTTTGAACAAAACAATTACACTATAGTCTGAATCAATCCATTTGTTTGTACCCCCTACTGATTTCAAAACAGTAGTCTTTAAGTTGATATAAAGTGCAAAGAACTTAGTCAAGTCTTTCATTGGTTTATATTTTCTAACCTGAATGGCCATAACATGCTTAACCCTTTCATCACTAAGTAACTTTGTAGGCATAGAGTCCTCAACACTGAGTAACATTGGAGTTGTAAAGCAAAATGACTTGTGGACTTTGAAACAACATAACTTTGCCAATGTTAAATATATCTGGCTGGATTAGGTGTCAAAATCAAGGTTAAAAATCAAATTTTATGACTAATTCAATAAAATATGCATATCTATTACAACTGTTAAAATGCAGGTAAAAAACAGGTAACACAACAGGTAAAATACAAGTAATTATTTTATTACCTTTTAGAAAACTTAGAAACTTTTCAAAACTTGTTCAATTGACCCTAGATGTACTAATGAATAATCACAGTAGTAACACAAGTCATTCTTTCATGGTGTCCATAATATATAAGATTCTATAAAATGAACCAAAATGATCTCCAAGGTGAGATCTGTCCATACACCTATTTCATCTCTGCCATGTTTGATCGTCGCATTTAAGTTTGTTAAACGGACAATTTTTCCAGAAACTTCATCTGAATAGAATATTTGAAAATAATCTGAAGCTTTCCTGGAGCCATCTAACACTGAGGTGTGCCCAACTCTGTCTGAAAACTGAAACAAATCTCTTTGGTTTTCCGGCTTCGTCCAAAAAAAACCCCACGTGTAGCGTACAATTCCTCTGGTTCAAATCCTTCAAAGTCATCTTCATCGTCATCACTGTTATCCACAAGTGCATTCCATTGTCTCTCCATACGTCTTCTCTCATTTTCATCCAAATTTACCAGGTTGAAATTATTTAAATTCTTCGATAACTCTTTTAAATTTCTTCAAACGATGCCATTTTGGATACAAATTTTATCATTCAGAAAACACGTTAAAAGTTCTTACTTTGTTCGATATTTCTAGTTGTATACAAGCTAAACTCAGGAGATCATCCAAATATAACATCTACATTACCAGATGGAAGTTACTGGAGGTACCCCGAGAGATATTTAGTCAGGTACTTTAATGCTAAAGAAGAACTCTTCCCCCTGACCGATTTTGTTGTCCGCAGTGATGAAAGGGTTAATGGAAGTTTTCGATATAATAGATGGACATTCCAATTCCTGAACCAGTCCATTTTCAGCAAGGGTTGTATGCGTGACTAAAATGTATATGCATATGTCATCTGCTTCGATATTTACAGTGTTGAATCAAGCAAAGAAAAAAAAAACTGCCTTTCACTTGGATTTAACAAGCGGTTTCATTAATATGTTCATGTGTGCATATGAACATTATTCCAAACTGAACGTTATGGTAATTTATGGAATTATCGGGCAGTTACAGAATAGGATGAATTATGTCATTTTGTTGTCGTATGGAAATAAACTGCCCTGTAGTATACAGAATATGGTGCTGTGTTAGTATGGAAAGTCCGTTAAGCATGAAGGTGCAAGAGAATGACAGTACTAATGTCATTCTGGTCGAAGTCAGGTTAGAAATTATAAATCAATGATTCAACTGACTTAGTTCTGTGCACTTTTTATCACATTAAATGTTTTATTTATTGAAATTTTTAGAGGGGTACAAACAAACGGGGATGTAGCGTTGACTATTATTAATGAGCGGTTTTAGTTTGTATTTAAAAGAGAAAATTGATGTTATGATTACTTTAGAAGTAATTACCAAACAAGCTGATAGATACTCTGTGGATAAAATGAGTTTGCTAAATTATTTTCGCAAGGAAGGTAATAATGTAAATGTAATTTAAATGTAAATTTGTTTGAAAATGTAGGGATGAAACGTAAGATGGATACTGAGTGTGTGGTAGCTATTTCTCAAAAAAAACATAAGCAACAATCAGTGATGGCAAGAAATTTCAAATATGACACTACTAAGAGACAAGACAAATTTTCAGCCGAATTGGGTTGATTGTTATCCCTGGCTTGAATATATTGACTCAGAAGGAAAGATGTTTTACAGTTACTGCAAACAATATCCAAAACTGGCACAGGTCGGAAATTCACCCAGATGAATGTTTTTTGCAAATGGACCAGAGCTTGAGGACTTTAACTCAGACACAGCTTTCAACTACTGGTTTAATGCTGGTGCATGTGGCAGACATATACATGGACATAATGGTCAAATCCATCATCTAAAACATATGTGAATCTGAAGAAGCCAAATGAATAACAACCAATGCTTTTGAAAAATTAAATTCTTTTAATAAATAATTGTGTTGTATATTTCGTTTGTTTTTTCTTTGAATTACATACATTTCATCAAATCTCGGCAAGTGATTACCTTATATTGACCATTGACAAGTAAGGTTGAATTAGTGAAGGGGAAGGTGGGACTAGTGGATTTTCTGAAACCACTTGTCCTGGACTATTGGTTTAAAAAAATATTTGCTCAGCCCTGCTTGTTATTAATTATTCAAAACTTCCTGTTAGGTATTTTTCCAACTGCCTCAACATGTTCTTATACAGAGATCTGCACACATAAATTCATTGTGCAAGAAACAAATGGCTGAGCACAAACTATTACACTCTTACCTAAGGCCTGCGACAATTCATGGTTCAGTTTTAACCATAGTTTTCCATAAAGCACACCCTGTTATTTCAGTATACAAAATGCACACAAAAGAATCAATCAATTGAATTGTACATTTGTAGTAACTTAAAGAATTATTTATGGCAGAGAACAAAGTTTATACATGAAGTGCATTTGAGACAAGAATAGGCAGGTTGTAGTAATGAATGTTCCATAGTGACCATATTTGCATATAAAATTGTTGGGGTTTTTTTGTTTGTTTTTTTAATGGTTATATCTTGCTCAGAAAGTGGAAACGGTGAATTTCCCAGGGATGCACCAAGGCAGCTGATCTGGTCAAGCCAGAGTAGGTACTGAACCTGCAGCAGTTGGCTTAGAGTCTGACCCTCAAGCAACAGAGCTACCTAGCAATGCCATGCAGCTCATCTAAAATAGCTGTGCCACCATTTTCAGAAGTCTGAATATCCTATCAAGTTCAGATTTAGCATCTTTTCTACACATAATGAAACTTTAATCCAAGGTTGTAAACATGAAAGAGCTGTGATGAAAAATATGGGTTTAATCAGCAGAGATTTTTTTTTACTGAGTAGGCCAATTCTTGATGCTTGCATTCATACAAATGTTGTGAATATGATTTCATGTTCTCAAGTTATTTTCAGCATGTACATCCAGGAACTTGTCAATGGAAGATTGGTTTGTGTAGTACAATTCTTATTCATTAATGTCAGTCTTTTTCCTAATATTGCTAGCTCTATTGATCATAAATGTATGTTGTCCATTAGCATAAGTTTTGTTATTACTACTCTTCCTAAATTACTTTTAAGATTGTTTTAATTAAACTTTTGCCACATACAAGCGCATTTTGGCCCTCTACCGAAGTACAATATAGGCACCTTTTGGCAATTTGCCCGATTCCCATATAGCGCCTTTTGGCAACTCTGTAAAAAAAAAAAAACTGCCATTTTGAGCAAGTTTTCGTAGCGCCACCTTTGGGGAAAACCCCATATTAGATACTACATTCATTGGTGAGAATGATCATTACGTCAGATCACGTGGTCACTGTTTATGTTCTGGTCGAAATATGCTATTTAACGAAAGTAGGTTGTAACTATGTTGTATTCTCCATTCAACAAAATGGTGGTCTTAGATATCGTTGAGTACCTGATCGAGTAGAATCACAACTATGAAAGCTTTAATAACTTAGGTAAAGGCTCAGATAGTGATGTAGGAAGCCATTTGTTTTTATAAATTATCAAATTCAGCTGATTTTGTGATGTAGATGCAGAAAAAGTACTTGTAAATTTCAAGTATGTGAAATTCCCACGGCTTGATTGATTTGATAGTGAACGAGTTCTCACAAGATTTTAGAGCACATACAAAATTATTTTGTGAAAAATAATTATACAGCTATAATGACTATTTTACTCTTAAATCTTTCCATACATAATATATATATATGTACCAAAAATGTAAAATGGTTAAAATTGCTGTAAATGTCAACATACACTTCACTGCTTAACAGGCTTATGCAGAGCGGACTGCACTCTGTAACTTTGCTACATGCGTATTTAAGGGCTAAAAAGGCATCATTCTATTAGGAAAAAGGTTAAACATTACACACATTTCATCCCATGGTCTAATTGGTCCCAGATGAAAATGTTGCTGCTCAGACATCCCATATGGTTTTCATAGTATATATAGTGTTCTAATGGTTGGAGCATCCACCTCAGATGTGGAAGGTTGTGGGTTCGATCCCCAGCTGAGTCATACCAAAGACTTGCAAAAATGATACTAACTGCTGCAAAAATGATAATTGCTGCCTCGCTTGGATAATATGACAGGGTGGGACATCATGCAACATGTCTGCAACATGATACCCAGTGTATTCCCCAAGGAGTGTAAACCTGAGGGTAAAAAAAACCTTTGTTTGAACTGGGGGTCAAATGAACGTTTTTGCAAATGGACCAGAGCTTGAGGACTTTAACTCAGACACAGCTTTCAACTACTGGCTTAGTGCTGGTGCATGTGGCAGACATATACATGGACATAATGGTCAAATCCATCATCTGAAACATATTTATGTGAATCTGAAGAACCCAAATGAATAACAACCAATGCTTTTGAAAAATTAAATTCTTTTAATAAATAATTGTGTTGTATATTATGTTGTTTGTTTTTTCTTTGAATTACATACATTTCATCCATACTTTTTCAGCTAGAATAGGATATTGCAATTTGCACAATATTCTCTCTCTCTCTCTCTCTCTCTCTCTCTCTCTCTCTCTCTCTCTCTCTCTCTCTCTCTCAAAAAAAAACAACAGTAGGCACAATTAACACAAATGCACTATTCATTCAAAGGAATCTTTTATTAGTTAATTTTCTTTTAGTTTAAAGTCGTACTTTTAACAGTCTCTTTATAATTTTTCCTAGCAATAATATAGACCAACACTTTACATATAAGCCAATACAAAACTCCATATAAATCTTTTTAACAAAACGAGTTAAATTACTGCCCGTCATAAAACGTGTACTATCATCGGTTTCATTGTACTTTGTCCTAAAAACACATTTATCCAAAAATCAGAGGCTAATGATTCATCTTCTCTTTAACAAGTTACACTTGAACTTTTAGATCTTTCTTTCGTTGCAGCAAAGTTAGAACAATCTGCAACAATCCCCTGAATTTGTAAATCCAAATAATGAATTTGTCTCAGCAAGTTTATTTCTTTGCTCTGAAAGAATGTTTTAGGTAATATGTTCAAAAGATATCTTGTGGTGGTGATCAAGGGCAGATTTTTAAAAATTCTTAAACGATTGATTGTCACAAAAGGATTATTCACTTGTGTAGCCTTGGCAATCACGATGTCACGATGTCACGTAATCCCAATGCCTTGGATCTGCTGTATTCTAGTCAAGGGCATATTTAATACGCTTTTTATTAGTGTCAGATCCAAATTTACTCTTTGTGTTCTGCTTCTTTCACTTTCTTTGCTAATGATTCTTAGTGCACGTCGTTTTCATCATGAGATCACATTTTAGTACAACAAGAATTGAGGTTTGAGATGTTTCTGGACATTTTGCTAAACTCATAGAATCTCGTGAGATCTCTTGAGATCAGGAAAGCTACTCTGTATTAATATTGCCTACTGGTAGTCTGGTTCTCTGCTTTGCTTGTTCAGTATTGCAGTGTGCAACACAGAGAGCATACAAAACAGGAAACTGGAAAAAGTATTCACGATGCCATCCCTAATGATGTATAATCGTAGTATACACGATGCCATCTCTAATGCAATGCATTGAATATTAAATAAATCCTGATTATATTTTGCAAATCCTTTTCGTCAAAAAATCGCACAGCAAAAATTTATGTGCGTCAATTTTCTATATTGTGCATCCCTGTTTTATTTTTTGTTTTGCACAGAGAAATATCCTGTGGCAGGTACACCCAGCTTTATGTTGATTGGCTCAATATTGTTTTACTCTTATGTTCTCAAATAATTTACACCCTTTTTATATATAAGTTTACATTGATTTGTTTTTACATCATCACTTGTGCTCATATCAGGCCAGCCACAAGAGATGGGCATCTGCAGTGATGCTTGTTGATTTGGGATGGCATAACCTTAGTCTTTTTCAGCATTTGAAGCATTCAGACCACTGTGCTGATTATATTAAATGTCTAAAAAAATATTTTTACACAATTTACTTGCTTTAAAAATTTGTTTAAAAATTTAGATTTGGGGTTTCTTGTTATGTAATGTATGTTTTTCATTGCAATAAAATATATGAAAATTTCTGTTTTATTGTGCCCATATACACATATCCCACTACTAATACATTTTATTATTATGGTAGTAATTGATTTACTATACATATTTTTACTATACATTGTGACTGCTCCGGTGGCCTACTGATTAGAGGGTGGGCCTCAGATGCGGGAGGTCGCATGTTCAAACCCCAGCAGTGTCATATCAAAGACTTTAGAAAATGGTACTAACAGCGGCCTTGCATGGCACTCAGCTTTAAGAGGTAGGGCTGTAAAAAAATTATGAAAAAAAACGGCAAATTTTAACGGGTACTGTTAGCACATAAATGACATGTACAACCATAGACCAACTAATTGTTATCTCCATTTCTTTAATATTTTTTTATGGGGATAGAGAACTAACTGTGTACTACTCGTCTAATTTGGCCACACCAATGTAGCTGAGACTGTACCAATGACAGCCCTATTAGTAATTGATTTACTATACATATTTTTACTATACATTGTGACTGCTCCGATGGCCTACTGGTTAGAGGGTCAGCCTCAGATGCGGAAGGTTGCATGTTCAAACCCCAGCAGTGTCATATCAAAGACTTTAGAAATTGGTACTAACTGCGGCCTTGCTTGGCACTCAGCTTTAAGAGGTTAGTCTTAGGACTGGTTGGCCTGGTGTCAGGATAATGTGATTGAGTGGGACATCATGCTTTATGTCTGTGGCATGATGTGATGCTCCAGTGCTAGACATCACTGTAAACTGTCACATTGCAGACATTGTAGGGATATGATTGAAAAATTGTTAAAGCTATGTTAAAAATCTAAATAACACTCACACTATACATTGTAGATTTGTGCATGCATCCCCAGTGTTAAATGGGTATACCTGTACTGAATTGCACTCAATTGGTTGATCTTATTGTGCACTAAACCAGTACTTTCTTGTCTCTGTCATTTGTCAGAAGTACCATAAATACATCTATTTATTGCATTGTGTACAAGGTGCAATGGCTCATTTGGTGGCACATTGGATTTATAATCCAAATGTCACAGATTCAGTACCTGCCCAAGACAACCAAGCCAGCTAGCTACCTTGTCTATGGGAAAGACACAATTTTCATGGCATGATTTAGGCAGTAATGGTTCAAAGTGCCATTAAAGCTAATTACAAAACCTGCATTCTATGTCTTAGATTGTTTCTGTAATTTTCTCTGCCCTTGATTCCATTTCTTTCTGTCCACATTACAGCCATGACTGGTTTTGTCTGTATATATACCATCTTTTCTTCATTAAACTGTATTTACCATATAGCTAGGGAATTTGCACAACCCACCTCCCACTGCCACTGCACATTGTAGTTAGATAAAAAAAAATGCTTATTTGATAATGAAGGATATTAACCATGTATTATTTTACATTCCTCTTTATTCATCATGAGCAATTCATTAAAGAAAACATATCCACATATATGTTGCATATGCATTCATACTGCAGTGTGTATCACTAACATCAGACAGGGTACAAGACATTTTTCATTGACATGAATATTGAGAAAAGAATCATGATTGGTTGTAGTCAAACGTTTGAATACATTATCAGTCTGAAAAAATGGGTCCAACAAAATCAGAAGAGAAAGAGAGACTGATTGATTGAGGCACCTTCTGTTCATGCATGACACACTGTAAAGTGCAAAATAACCAAGATTGCATTAATTATATCCAAATTAACTATATGACAGTATCTGGCAAATATAAATCATTATTTGAAAATACATCCACTCTGAGCACAAATGACAATCTTTTCGTTAGATAGGTTACAAAAAGTATTATTAAAGTAAGTTATTGCTGTGTATACTGTTTACTCTGGAAAAATCAATGTCCATTTGTAACAATTATGATTACCATATTTTCTGCCCTATAAGTCGCTCCTGCATATAAGTCATGGGAGGAGGAAATCCAGAAAATTTTGGAAAATTCAACAAATAAGTCGCTCCTGTGTATAAATCGATCCTCTGCACTTACTGTAATCACGTCTTTGATACCGCCGGCCATTGCATACGACTTGGTAATTTCCAACTTCATGTAAGAAATATTATACAATTGTTTAAGAGTTATATAAAAGTCAGTATTACAATAGAAATAGAAAATAAAAGCAAATAAGTTTTTTAAGTAATATTAAGTAAATAATAGCGCCACTGTTTTTTCTTAACGTTGTCGCTAATCTGTCTCAGGAAAAACCGTCAAAATCTATATGTTCCATATCACTGTTGAATATTTGATAAATGTGTTTAGGAATTTCACCGCTGGTGTCTTCATTGTCGTAGCTGTCTTCTTCGATTTCACTATCTTTTTATTAACCGATTTTTTGTATGATTTTGGCTTTTTCAAACCCCGCCACAATCGTTCGCACAGTGACAGCCTTCCAAGCAGTAGCTACCCATTCTGCTACTTCTCCAAATGTAGCGCACCTCATCCTGCCAGTCGCACCTCATCCTGCCAGTCGCTGTGAAGCTGTGTTCCCGTCTGTCATCCATGACTCCCAAATGTTTCGTAACACTGCCTTGAAACTTCTGTTCACTGGTATATCAAGAGGTTGGAGCAGTTTCGTCATTCCACCAGGGATAATTATCTGGATGGTATTCATTGATTTCATTTTTTTTTAACGCCTTCTGTTATGTGGACTCGCTTACTGTCCATGATAAGCATTGCTTTTTCTTTCTTAAAAAATCCATCTGTTCTTTTGCTGTAGCATTGCTGAAGCCAATCGATCATCATCTCTTCATCCATCCATCCCTTCGTGTTATACTTTATGATAACATTTGGAGGAAAGGAATCCTTTGGTTTGTCTTGCGTTTAAAGATGATCATTGGTGGTAGTTTAGCTCCACTAGCAGAGCATGCCAGCACGACGGTGAAAACGCGACTTTTTGTGTCCCGTTGTTTGGATGTTTACTGTCTTAACTCCTTTTTCTTCTATGCTTCTGCTCATCGTTATGTCGGTATGTCGAATGT